TTTTGCACCGTTCCATTCCCTTTATCTCATTCTCCCTCCAATCACACCACATTACGTAGGATACACGAGCCAGATCACTAGACAGGAGTGGTCGGGACACTCTGTCCCCGAGCCCTTGCGTCAGCAGCCATGCTTTATATCCATGTCCTTCACTGCTGCACATGTGCCATTAACTTGTTGATCACACAGTCATGGGGCTTGGCAGGGTGCCCGGGCGCCATCTTGGGCACTCCCGCATGGGCCCGCTCTCCACACATGTTGTAGGGTCTCCTTGGCCTCCTTGATCAAGAGGACAGGTGACCCACCACAATTACAGAACATTTTGAGATATGCTCATAGTCCCCTGGAATTAGTCAACCTAGGAGGGCAAGGAGGAAAAACTGTCCTTTATGGCCTTCTGACCAAATTATTATAGGCCTCAAAGTATGTCTTTCAAACACCCAAGAAGGTTAGTTCCACCAGTCTGGTAGTTTTAATTACTGTGTGTCATGAATATATGGGCAAAGACCAATTGTTCTCAGATAAACCTTACCTAGACATATATTTCTTGATCTGGTATGTATAATTTGTCGGTAGGTTGTTGGAGTAATATGGTTCCCTCTGGTTTTTTAAAACTAAAACTAGCTAGGCATTATTTATCTCTCGTATTGTCTAACCTCTCCATCATGGTTTCCATAATTAAGATACCCCCATTTCCCCCCTTTCTCCCTTACTAATACCCTTCTCCTATGGTCCTACCTCTCTTGAGCGCCTTCTTTCCCTTTATCACCTAAGTTCCTTGTATACCTTCCCTCCCCCCTCCCTTAAAATAACCCAATTTTTATCCATATCTCCCTTATTAATGTCTGTTTCCTACTGCTCTACTCTTTCAGGTTCTTTTTTTTCCTTTACCTCCCTGGTTCCTTTCCATTATCCTGGTTCCTGTATTTATGTCTGGATACATACTCACTTATCAGGATTTGGTTGTAGGGTCCACATATGAGGGAGAACATGCATCTTTTTTTTTTTCTGAGA